AAGTTCGAGGGTAGTTTTAGTTCAAAAATGAAAGTTGAGGGACTGAATCGGGGATATAACCATATTAAATTCTAGCAATTACCCGAGGAGAAAAAAGATTGGCTGGAAAGACCATTTTCAGTTGAAGAGATAGAGGAAGGCTTAAGGAGTTGTGAAGGTTCAAAGGCACCAGGACCTAACGGTTACAACTTTAACTTCCTTAAATATGCGTGGCACTGCATAAAGGAGGACTTCATCAACTTTTTTTTTCTGAATTTCACCGTAATGGTAAATTGGTGAGGGGTCTAAATTCTTCTTTTATAACCATGATTCCTAAAAAGTTAAATGCTGTAGAATTAAAGGATTATAGACCCATTAGCTTGATAGGATGTGTCTATAAATTATTAGCAAAGGTGCTGGGTAATAGATTGAAGTCTGTGATATCAGAAATAGTAAGTGAAACGCAATCTGCTTTTGTGGGGGGCCGTCAGTTGGTGGATAGTGTCTTGGTGCTGAATGAAGTTGTGGATGAATTTAAGAAGACGAAACAGCCAGCTTTCGTTTTTAAAGCAGACTTCGAAAAAGCATATGACTGCGTAGATTGGTCCTTTTTGGATTGGATGATGGAGAGATTTGGATTTGGAATAAAGTGGAGAGGCTGGATTATGGAATGCCTTTCAACGGTGAGAATCTCGGTTCTGGTAAACGGAAGCCCGACAAAGGAATTTGAGGTGGGTAAAGGATTGAGACAAGGTGATCCTCTATCTCCTTTTCTCTTCTTGATGATTGCAGAGGGGTTACAAGGTCTGGTACAGAGAGCAATAAAGGAGGGAATGTTGCATGGGATTGAGATTGGAAAGAATGGTCTGTCCGTGTCATTGCTCCAGTTTGCTGATGATACAGTTATTATGGGTAGAGTGAATGTTGAGAATATACGTACGGTGAAGGACATTCTAAAATGGTTTGAGCTTATGTCGGGATTGAGGATTAATTTCAGCAAGAGCAGTATTTTTGGTTATAATGTGACGGAGAAATGGCTAAAAGGATCAGCGGGTATGTTACACTGCAGGGTTGGACGAGCACCTTTTCTTTATCTGGGATTGCCCGTTGACGGAAAATCTGGGAACAAGAAATCATGGGAGCTGGTTGTAAATAAATTCCGTACCAAACTCGCTGTCTAGAAGGCCGCTACTCTTTCTTTTGGAGGCCACCTCATCTTGCTAAACTCGGTACTCTCTGCACTCCCGAGTTTTTATATGTCTTTATTTTTATTACCTAATTCTGTGCTTGAAGAGTCGATTAGAATTCAAAGGAGTTTCTTATGGGGCGGGTTAGAATTAAATAAGAAAATTTCTTGGGTTAAATGGGAATATGTTTGTCGAGCTAAGGCGAAGGGGGGTATTGGGGTGCCTGATTTACGGAAAAAAAATTGGGTAATGTTAGGAAAATGGTGGTATAGGTTAGGTGACGGGGTCGAGAGCTTATGGAAAAGGGTGGTGAGGGAGAAATATTATGGTGGTAGGAGGGAGGTCGATATTACTTCAGTTGAGTGTTTCAAGGTGTCAAAGATTTGGAGGGACATTATTAGGATAGGGGGTCTGTCTCTCAACCTTAGGAATATGTTGGTTGAGGGTTTCAAGTGGGAAGTGGGTGATGGAAATAGAGTGGTTTTTTGGTGTGATAGGTGGATTGGTGTTAAAAGTCTTAGGGATTTATTTCCAAGGTTATTTGCACTATCTGTAAAGAAGAAAGGAAAGGTTTCTGAGATGGGGTCTTGGGAAGAGGGTAGATGGCATTGGCGGGTGGAGTGGAGGAGGGGTACATTAGGGCGAGAGAAAGATGAGGAGGAGCTGTTGGAGAAGTTGCTGGAGAATGTCAAATTAAAGGAGGGGGCAGGGGATGTTTGGAAGTGGGTTCATGTGTTGGATGGCAAATATGGGGTGAAGTTAGCGTATGATTTTTTAGCTCCTACGGAGAGTGTTTTGGAGGACCAGCTATGCAAATTAACAGGGTGCATATTGGTGCCATCCAAAGTGGCTTTTTTTTGGGTGGCAATTGTGCTTAGATAGACTCCCAACAAAAAAAAACTTGCAAAAACGTGGGATACTGCTTCAGGAGGGTGTACTTTGCAAATTTTGTAATGGGAAGAAGGAGGAAGTTAACCATTTATTTTGTTTATGTTATAATGCATGGTTAACTTGGACTCAGGTGTTGAGGTGGTGGGGGTTGGAGTTTGTTTTGCCTAACACAGTAAGGGGAGTGGCAGAGTTTTTCATTGGTAGTTTGGGAAGCATTGTTGGAAAGGAGATGGGCTCATGTATTTTCCTAGTGGTTGCCTGGTACTTATGGTATAGACGGAATGTTCAAGTGTTTCGGAAAGATGAAGGATTACCAGAAAATCTGCTGGAAAGGATGCAAGTTAAAACATTTATATGGATTAAATCCAAAGTCAACGGCTGTGTTTTTTCTTTTTGCGATTGGCAATCTCGCCCAATGGAGTGTGCTATGGCTGTCAAAAATCATAAAAGGCTGAGGAAGCAGTTCTTTAAAGCTCGTGTGCCCTCTGGTTGATGGATAGGCGGGGATGTTTTGTCTCCAAATGTGGTGTTTTTGGGCACCTGACGCTTTTTGTTTGTGATTTTATTAGCTTTGTCAATCTCTGGTTTTTAGGAGATTAGCTATCCTCTGTTTGTGGTTTCCAATTTTTGTATATGGGCAGGAGCACCCCTTGTGCTTCACTAAATTAAATTAAATTTTCTTTGGCTGATAAAAAAAAAAAGTATTTTTAATGCTTTTTCTTCCTCAACTATGAAAAATTTATTTTTTTTATCTGTCAGTTTTGGTAAATAAATCTAGATAATTGGCACTTTTTACTCTTTAAACTTAAAGTTTAAGGATCAAAAATATACAATAAATATTAATTTAAAGATAAAAAATATTCATACAAAAAAATATTTTTTTTTTATAGTTAAGGGATAACAAAATTACAAAAAAAATAAAATAAAATTTAAAATTTGTTAGAAATTAAAAGTTTAAAAACTAAATTTGACATTTAAACATAAACAAAATTAATTGAGATGAGAGAGCACAAGGCTCAGTAAATGAAAGAACAGCTGCAGCTACCTCCTGATTTGAGATTAGGTTTTGTAAGGTGGAAGCAACAAACACCTTCAAAAGCGACCAACGCAAGCGTTGATTATATTTAATTTATGGATAATTTTATAAAATTAATTCACTCACAATAAAATTTCATAAAATTAAACTAGTGAATGTGTATCTATTCATGCAGCAATTGAGTGGAAAAAAAAATAAAAATTACATTACGTAAAATTGTAAGAGAATCTATGGTAGAATAAGATGTATGGATATATTTGATCTTTTCTTTCCCTTTTCTTCCCGAAGCGATTGCGTGTAGTTTCAAGGTAAGATGGAAAGAAAAATAACGGCCAGGTGAATACTAACCACATTAATACATCATCCAAACCAAACAAAGAACAGAGAGAAAAGAAGATGTAAGACCTGCAAAAAAAACAAAGACGGAATTCTCAAATTTGCCCTTGAAATAGGAGAGGAGGATTTAATTTGCTCCTTAAAAAAAGGAATAATTTGCTCTCCAAATTATTGATAAAAATAAATTATTCATTATTTAACATATGACATCATTACACATTAAAAATATGTTTGTCACCTAAGCATTTTTTAATAAAAAGTCAACTATGATGACATCACATATTAAATAATAGGTGATTTATCTTGATTAATAATTTGGAGGAGCAATTTGTTCAAACAATTTGTTCAAACAATTTATTCAAACAATTTGTTCTTACATTTTTTAAGAGGTGAATCTGTCCCTACTCTCCTATTTAACAGTTGAATTTTGGGGTTTTACTGCAAAGAAAAATTTTGATTAGCAACCAAATCAAATAAACAATTATAACTAATTATTCAGTGGCAGCTGTATTGTAACAAAGGTGGTAACTAATTATTTAAAGATGGGTCATCCTCCATGGAGTTTTTTAGCTAGAAATGGATCCCTAAGTTTCCTGTTCGATTTGACCCCTCTCCATTAATCTCATAGATAAAATGTTCTACTCCATTTCCACCAACATTGGAGCTACCCCTTTGAAGATGAAGTCCAGCCTTACATGGCTTAATGAAGGATATTGTAATTCTAAGTTCTTTTACTTAAATACAATCTCTAAGAGAAAGAATAATAGAATTCTCTATATTCTTAACAATTATAACATTAAAATCACCTCCCTCGTGAAATTTGGGACTTCATTTCCAAATCTTTTCAAGACCTTTACACCACCAGGGAAACTTTTTGTACCTTTCACACCAACCTCGATCTTTCCTAATCTCCCTTGCTACCCCCAAATATCACTCCTATCCATTTGTGCTCCATTCCCTTTGAGAAGGAAATTCTCTTTGCCCTAAACAGCTTTCATCCACTCAAAACCCCTGGGAAGGATGCACTTCATGCCATTTTCTTCCAAAAATACTGGAATTTTGTGAGATCCATTGTCTATGATGCTATCACTTCTTTCTTTTGCACTGGTGATCTTCCACATGGCCTTAACCAAACCATTATCTCCCTTACCCCAAAAATCCCCAATCCCTCAATTGTCTCCCACTTTAGGTCCATTAGCCTTTGTAATACCATTTACAAGCTTTGTACCAAAATTTTGATCCTCTGTCCTTGTCCTTTCATCGATAAAATCATTAACCCTCTTCCATCCAGCTTCATCCTAGGGTGCCAAATCTCTGACAATGTTGCAATTGCCCAAGAGCGACTTTCCTCTATGACTAAAAAGAAAGGTATGACTAAAAAGAAAGGGATGGTTGGTGAAATGATCATCAAAATTTATCTAAACAAGGCTTTTGATAGCATTGAATGGGATTTTATTAGGAATTGTCTTCTTCACTTCATATTTCCACCCTTTTGAATCAAAATGATCATGAATTTTGTTTGCACAACCTCAACTTTAGTGTGTGTAAACGAATCTCTCTTGGACAAATTTCTCCCTTCCTAAGGCATTAGGCAAGAAGACCCCATTTCCCTATATGTTTTCATTCTTTGTATGGAAGACCTTTCTTTCCTCATTGAGAAAGAATGCTGGCAAGGCACTTGGGATCTTATTAAAGCCTCTCAGTGTGGGCCCCTTTTCTCTCACATCCTCTTTCCTGATGATATCCTTCTTTTCAATAAAGCCACTACACCCTCAACTAATGCAATAAAAAACACCCTTGAACTTTTTTGCTCCATTTTCAGCCATTTTATCAACTTCGCAAAATCTAGAATCTTTTTCGCCCCCAATGTCAACCAATTTGTTCAAGATTGCATCTGCTCCACCTTGGGCATCCAAGCAACTACTGATCTTGGAAAATATCTAGGTATCCCACTCTTTGCTAGGAGACCAATAAAAAAAAACTTTGATTTTATCCTTGATCTTGCTAACTGTTAGAGTTGTGGTGTTCAAGCTGCCAAAGTAGCAGCAAATGGAAAGACGTGAGAGCTGCAATATGATGATTACAGAGTAGCAGCAAAGTGACAGCACAATGGAGCTTCACATATGCTACAAGAAATGGCAGTAAATCTTTGAATGTAATCTTTTGTTTTAAATGCTTAATATTTTCTTGTATTGGGTAAAATGTTAGGTGAGAAAAAAATTGTTTTTTATTGTATTGTTTCTGCTATAAATGTAGTAAAATATCAATGATATCTTTGAGTTGGAGTGATATACTCCTCTCCATTTTATGTGCTCTGCTCTTCATCTTCTTCCTCTCGGTTCTCTCCTTTTTTTTCTTTCTTTGCTTTAAAAAACCCAACACTAACAATAAACTTGTTGGCTGGAAAGCCAAACTTCTCACAATAGCTAAAAGGATGACACTCATCAATTCCACCTTATGCTCTCTTCCAATCCATGATATGCACTATTGCCTCTTCCCAACTAGTACCTCTAAAGCTCTGGACAAATTAGCTACTTCTGGCTTGATGAACTAGACAAATTGAAAATTCATCTCTTAAGTTGGAACTCTATTTGTCTTCCCAAGCACAAAGGTGGGCTTGGCATTAGGCAATGTGCAAAGCTTAACGACGCTTGCATCCTTAACTTATTTAGCACTTTGAAATTGCCCCTTTCCAGCCCTTGGATTTGCCTTCTTAAAGCCAAATATGGCTTTCTTACCTCACCCCCAAACCCCCCTCAAAGATCCTCTCATATTTGGCAAACAATGACAACTCTCATGCCTTCCATTGATTGTGGAATCTCTTGGAGTATCAACAATGGAAATTTTGTTAACTTTTTTCATGAATAGCTTCCCATCGGACCCTTATCACATTTTCTTCATGGTCCTCTCACTCTACATTATTCCAATTTTTTAGTTGCTGACGCAACTCTGTTTTTGTCCTCCTTTAGGGAGCTCCCATGAAACCTACTACTACCTATGGTTGAGAGAACAATTTTTACCCAACTAGAGCTTGCTGATTCAAGCCTTAGTGACTTAATGATATAGAAAATCTCACCAAATGGGTCATTCTCACTTTCCTCCACCTATAGTCTTCTTTGTTCCTTTGATCCTTATGATGAAAGAGACCGACATTGGATTTGGAATGCCCAACTCTCCAAAAATCAAGTTTTTTATCTGGTTCCTTGCCCATGACCACGTGACTTCTAGATCATTCCTTTCCTCAAAGGGAAATAACGGTCCCATTACTAGCCCCCGTTATGACTCTTTTCCTAAAATAGCACTTCACCTTATCCGTGACTGTCTTGCTATCTTTCCTTTATGGAACATGCTTCCCATTCCTAAGCCACTACTTAATTCCTTTCACTCTGATATCTTCAACTAGCTACATCTAAATTGCTCTTCTAAACTTTTGGTTGATCACCCCCAAACTCCCATGGGTGGCCATCTTCAGCTTGGTCGTCTCGCATCTTTGGAATGATAAGAACTCTCCTTGTTTTCGACAAGTTTCATATCTGCAAAATATCTAGAACAAGTCACTCAGCCTCGCTATGAAATTGTGGGCTCCCATAATCATTCTTGTCAATCTATCTCATATAATTTTCTTCCTATGAAATGGATTCCTCCTAGTTACGGATGGGCCAAGCTTAATTCGAATGGCTCTCACTTTCATCAAATAGGTAGAACTTGTGCAGGGGGGTAATTCGCAACAATAATGGCAATTGGATTATCAGCTACCCAAAAAATCTTAATTTTGGCTCAAATAATGATGTGGAATACTGGGGGAGGGGGGGGGGGTTAAAATTGGTCTAGAATTTGCTATGAGCTTGGGTTTTAGGAAGCTTAAAATTGAAGCTGACTCACTGCTTGTTATTAATGCTATCAATGGTGTTTTTACTCCTAATGCTTCTTAGAAACCTTTAATTGCATGCTGCAAATCATTGATCCTCAAATTTGATGAAGTGTTGATTATTCACATTTATTGTGAAGCTGATAGGGTGGCCGATACACTTGCCAAGCATGGAGCATCAATGGAAGAGCATTTTGTTACTTTTGATTCTGTTCCTTATTTTAGTATGACTTGTTTCTCCTATGATCGTGATGATTGTTTTATGTATCGGAGCATGATTTGTCATCCTTAACTTTTAATGATATTCCTTTTTTGCACCAAAAAAGAAAACAGCAATTTAATCAAAATAATCAGGACCATGATTGAGCTCATTAGTGTTATGGAATCAATTGATCTTATGAATTAGCCTGACCGGTAAGGAGTTTATTTTTTGGCCGAGGCCATGAGAAGGATACAAGATCTTGGCAAAAAAAAAAAAAAAAATTGACAAGATAGTATAGAAATTTCTATGGACCCATACAAAGAAATTCTACTTGGGAAAATTTAGTAAAGAAAAGTAGGAACTTGAAGGAGAAGAAAATGGAGCCTGGTAAAGTTCCATATTGTCCCCCACAACTCTGTTGAATGCAATTAAACTCCATCCGTTTTGTGGAAACAACAACCTACATAATGAAACTGAGACTAGATATGCCTGTCATGTCAAAGAAGACTGGAGATTTTTTTATATTAAAAAGAAACAAAGAAAGAGAGATACAGGAGAAGAAAATTGCTGCTTCTCGGCTATTATTATAGCGTTTGGTAAATGTCCATATCAAAATTAACATTCCAGCCGTTGACAGAAGCGAAAGTTAGCACTAAAAACCTTTGGTCGATAGAGATACAATTGACTATTGAACACTCATTTTAGGCTTCTCATAGTCCTCTCCTTGTGCTATAGCATTAAACCATCTAGAAATAATTCCTTTCTTATTAATTCTCCATAGAAACTATACAAAGTGAGCAATCTCTACATTGGCAAAATATCCCATTTGGATTCTTAGACTCTAAAGTCTAACCTTAAACCTTCCCTTTTTAACTTCTGTTGGCTATGAGATTTTTTTGTTTCATATAGAAAAAACTAGAAATAAAAACAAGTAAATTTTGGCATTTGAAAGGCAAGAAATTACATGCATGGAAATTAAGTTTCACCTCTTAGTATCATACCGGACAAAACATGAATATTGGGTGCAGGCATCTCTTATTTTTGGAACAACTGTGGCAGGATGCAATGCCCCTTTTTCACCACTACTTTGCTAGTTCCTCCTGTGTGTCTGGAGTGCTCTTCGTCCTTGATTTTGGCTACTTTGATTTAACTAAGGAAGAAGCCTGAAAAGAATTGTGTCAATACGTTTGCAATACCATATCCTCCATCTCTTCCAAAACACAAGTGGTAAAATGACAATTGCTAAGCCAAAAACAAATCCCACTTCAACACTTATGAGATTCCAATCAATATGGGTTCCATTATTGGAATTGTTGCCTTCAGAAGTTGATGATACATTACTCTTGCAATTTTCCTTTAGAGGCACCCCACATAATCCTTTGTTATCATTAAAGGAATCTTTTGAAAATGTTTGAAGCTGATTTCCTTTAGGGATTCTTCCTTCGAGTTGATTGTGTGAAAGGTTAAGGACGGTAAGGAAATTTAGGTTTGCCAACTGCTGAGGAATTTCACCACTCAAGCTGTTACTAGGAAGGTCTAAAGACTCAAGATGTTGCAAGTTCCCTAGAGATGAAGGGATTAGACTTGTGAAACCATTATGTGATAAGTTGAGGGCATAAAGTACCTTGAATTCCCCCAAAATCTCGGGTATCTGCCCTTCAAACTTGTTGCAAGAAAAGTCCACAGAGGTGAGGAGACTAAAGATCTTCACCAGCCGTCTCTCAAAACCTTTGTTGGTAATTGTTACTGCATCTTGATAATATAATGCATTGAGAGGCAAGACTTCAAAATTAAGGACTTTGAGCTCATTCGAATCAACCATCATTGCCTTCCAGGTTCTTAACCACTGATAGGGTAATTCTCCCTCAAAATGATTGGAAGCAAGATCGATAATTTGAAGCATTGGCCAAGAGGAACGACCATCTGGACAACCAATCAGCCCATGAAAGTTGTTGGACCTCAAAACCAAGACATGCAAGCTAGATATATTCTTCAAATGGCATGGAAAAGTATCATTGATCTGGTTGTTTCCGAGGTCTAAAACCTCTAGCATTGCACAATTGGCCAAAGATTTGGGTATCTTTCCTTCAAGGTGGTTTCCATTAAGGTCTAGTGTTTGTGTAGAACAGTTTCTTGAAAATGTATCAGAGATGTTGCCACTGAGGATATTTCCCCTAAGATTCACCACTCCAAGAGAGTCCATACTAGTCAAGCATCGGGGAATAGTGCCATTCAGGGAATTATTTGACAAATCAAGGACTCTAAGATATGTAGCAGAGCAAATTGATTTAGGAATACTTCCATGGAGGCTATTGCTGGAAAGAGCGAAGAAGTAAGTGAACTCAAGATAATAACCAATGTCCATTGATAAAATAGAGCTGAAATTGTTGCTTGAGTAATCCACATATGTGGCATATGCCGGGGGCTTTGGTAGTTGCCCTTGTAGTTTGTTGCCATGAAGATCTAAAACAGTGAGATTAGGACCGAGATCTTGCAAAGGTTCTTGCAAATTCACCAGAAAGTTTTGAGAAAGATTTAAGTAATTAAGAGAAGAAAGATTCCAAATCCAATTAGGTATGTCCCCATCAATCTGGTTGTCTGAAAGATCTAGAAACCATAAATTGGATTTTTCTTTAAAGAAATCTGGGAATCTTTTCAGTTTGCAAGAAGCCAATTTTAATGTGCCAATATGGGGAAAGGAATCAAGACTGGTCCCTCTTGTGTCAATGGACAATCTGTTGTATGATAGATCGAGAGTAGAAAGATTCCTGAGATTCACAAAAGAACTTATGTATAACTGACCATTGAAATTATTGGAAGAAAGGATGAGAATCCGGAGGCTTCGGAGTCCAAATAGAAACTTTGGGAGAGGTCCTGCCAACCTATTGCTACTTAACTCAAGAGACTGCAATACAGAGTAAGCTAATTTTGGGGGGGCATTCAAACCACCAGTGAAATGATTTTGTGACAGTGCTATCCTTTGCAGCGATGGAATGCTAAACAAAGTTGCAGGGATAGTTCCATTTAGTGAGTTGTTGCGCAAATCGATACTTACAAGCTTGGAAAGGCTTGACCAGTCAGTAGAGAGAATTGAACCAGTTAACTGATTGTGGCCAAGGTTTAGTTGGGTAAGATTTTTTGCTGATGCAAAAGATGGGATTAGACCAGAAAAATTGTTTGTTGAAAAATCTAAAGAGACAAGCTGTGTGAGATTTACCATTGCTTTTGGAATTGATCCATTGAAATGGCAATTTGCAAGCTCTATCCTTGACAACCTCCCCAGGTTTCCAATAGATTCTGGTAAAGTCCCCCCAAAATGTGTTTTGCTAAGCAGCAAGGTCTCAAGAGATGAAGCAGGTAGAAATTCTTTTAGAGATCCTTCAAGAAGTGGGTTGCCTGACAAGTCAAGAGTCTTTAGTGTAAGTACTTGGAAGATTCTCTCTGCAACTTTTCCTTGCAAATTAGTAGAAGCAAGATGTAGAGAGGTCAAGTTTGATAGTTCTGCTAAGAAATCTGGAAATGGAGAAGAAAAGTTGTTTGCATCCAAACGAATCACTGACAGAGACCGAAGCTTAGAAAGAGAAGCATCTAAGGGACCTGAAAGATAACAGTTTGACATGCTCAAAACTTGCAAATTGGGCAAAGAAGAAGACAACGCCTGACACCATTCCTTCCCCTGTGCTGACATATTTACCCCATCAAGATAGAGATGCTTTATTTCCTTGAGATTTCGAACAAGCATGACTAGATTTGGGTTCTCAAGTTTCAATAAACTTCCAACCATTAGGAAATCTATAGATAAATCAAGAGTTACCAAGCTTTTCATTCTTGAAATCTCAAGTGGAATTAGCCCTTTGAAGCCAGCATTTGAGAGATTAAGATGCTTCAAGTTTTCAAGTTTATCAAAACCAGTAGGAAATCTGGAGTAGAAGCTGTTATATGCCAAATTTAGACTCTGGAGATGCTGGAGATTGAAGAGACTGCTTGAATTGTCAATTCCATCAATAATCCATTCCTCGCTCAAATCAAGATCGATAACACGACCTCCAGCATCACATTTTACACCGTTCCACATGCAGCAATCTGGGCTTTGATTCCACTTCTCGAGCTTAACAGATAGAGAGGAATTGAACTTAAGCCTGCTCTTCAATTGAAGCAGCAACTCCTGGTCGCTTTGACATTGACCAGAAACCAAAACACCATTAATCTCAAAGAAAATGATTGTAAGGAGTATCATAAAAAGCCAAGAAAAGAGTGAAATCCTCATTGTTCGCTATCTCAAGAGAAACCAAATAACTGTGAGTTTTAGAGATAAGAGAAAATGATATTGGCAGCAACTTTCAAAGTTTTGAGACATAGGCCCATTTGCCTCGTTAATTTAACTCTTCCGCTTGGTTTAGAATATGTAGAACCAGCCAAACAGGAGTGAGTATTGGACCTTACATTGCTTTGCTAACTTCAACGACCAAAGATGATTGGAGGAGGAAATTTCAAATGTATCCAATTGAGGTTCCAACAAATCTCTGCATTGAAAGTAACATTCCATTAACAGACTCAAACAATTCTAACATAGAGAAAATTTGACTCTATGAGTTTGAACGTGGAACTTTGTCCTAATTGTTAATTTAGGGCCTATTTGATACAGTGGATAAAAGATAGTAGGTAGCGGATAGCGGATGGCAGGTAGCGGATAACGGATAGCAGATAACGGATAGCAGTAGTGAATAGCAGGTGGCGGTTAGCAGATAATGGATGGTGGATAGTAGAAAATAGATAATGGATGGTAAATAGCAAATTTGATAAATATAACTGTTTGACTATACAATAATTAGCGGTTGTTGTTTAACATTAAATGACTAATAAGGACATGTTTGAAAATAAATAAGTATATT